TTGAAATGATGATCTCTCTTCCTGTTGTGACTTCCTGATCCATTTTTCCTCTCCACAGTTCCCTCTTTTTTAAACTTATTCACCGTTCTCTTGATGGTTCTTGGATGAACTCTGAAGATGGAAGCTACAGTATCAATGTTGGTACCGTTATTGAAGACCTGAATGATCTTTTTCCTCTCACCATTTCTCAGTTGGGAAGACATAGTGGGGCTGACACAAAACGATTCTAACCTGTTCTCTTTCTAGCTAAATAACTCAAGGGATTTTTTCAGTGATTCTTACGCCATATGGTGTCAAGATGGCTAAACGTCTTATCTGAAACCTGGAAAAAAGAAACTCAATTAGATTAGTGGCTTTTTTTTTTTTAGATATTAAGCTTGTTGTGGGATGGTTAATTATCCTATGCTGTTGCACGATTTGGACAAATTTGCTGTTACACTCGGTAAGACACTCACGTACAACACAGATATACACATATATGAGGTTTGATCAAAAAGTATCAGGACATTTCCTGTGGTAATGAGGCTAATGTACGCAGAGTGAAGCAGCTTGACCTTGAACTCTGTTGCGTGGGCACACTGTTATAGTGGAAAACACCTATTCTATAGTTAATAGACTCTCCCACATATAATAAGTAGGAGTAGTAAGAGTAACACAGTCGAGTCGGTCAGTCAGCCGATGTCGGAAGACAGTTAGTCGAATACTAAAGTATCAGCGACCACAACTAGATTACTCTGCGTTATACCTATTGTATCAAGTTCCTAACGTTTTGTACGTCGAACCTATTTTAGGGCCGACTTAATACAAATACAAGCCTTCACTGTGAAATCATTCTACAACACACACTTAGTTATAACATTCTCGCTCGCTTCCATTGTTTATAGCAGTGCTTGGGAGAGAAAGTGTGTAGAGTGTGGTCATCTCACCCCACTACAAAATTCCCCAGGCTTGGCAACCACCATATTCCCCCAGATACCGCTCCTTGCAATGTTTTTCTCTTTGCAAAATATCAAACACCGCTTGAAAGGGAAAAAAAAGATTTCAAAACGTCAAGGAAATCCAAGAGAATGCGACGTGGTAGCTTATCCCAAACAATGAGTTCCAAGAATGCTTTCATCAATAGAAAAGATGCTAAAGGGACTACTTTGAAGGAGATTAAATGATGAATTGATATGAGTTGTAGTTTTCTTTTTATAGCATCTGGTGCTTTTTGATTAAACTTCGTATATTACACACGCACGTGCAAAGTCACATGCAGACAGAGTGCAATTGACAGAGGACCAGTTATTCTTTTATAATATAGATTTATTTGGGTTATGCTATGGTAATGGTTAAGAGGAGGTACTGTGGAGTAATGAATAGCGGCTCGGGTTGTTGAGAGCCGAGTTCGAATCCCAGTCGAATCCATTGCATTCACTTATGTCCTAATAACCCTGGGAAAGGTATGAATCCTCTTCTTCTCCCTCTAGTTATGGGTAAATAGCAGGACAGACCGAGTTCTATAGCCTTGGGTAGCAACTATTCTACCGCAGAAAGAAATGGCAACCTACTGCGCGGAAAAAATCTGCCTCATCAGTCATGTATCAAAAGATACATGATCGTCTAAGCGTGTATCACGCATGGCACATAACTGATTGAATGGTAGAATCAGGTGTTTCTATACATGAGACATTTGGCATTCAGTGATTTGCATTAATGTGGGTTAAAATTTCTAAAAATTTTCTTAAAACATTTTTTTGGGGAAAATCCACTATTGTAGTTCTTTCTAATACTGGCATGCGTTTTGTAGAATTGAAAAGATTGTGTGTTAGTGTGTATCTTTTGTGGTACGTGTTCATATGTAAAAAAATTACAGAAGAAGCACTCCAGTAAGTAGCTGACCCCGCATGCTATCTCCTACATTTACAAGAGCCAGATCAAGTCGAGAATGGAGTACTTTTGCCACATTTCTGCTCAGTCCTCACTTTCCAGTCTCTATAGAGTTCGAAATCGTTTCCGAGTCACTATGGGGGATAAATTATTTTCAACCCTCCAACCTATCTCATTAGTTTCAGCCATCCAACAGCTCTCATTATTTTCAACCTTCCAACTGCTTTCATTATTTTCAATCCTCCAACCTCTCTCATTATTTCCTACCCTCCAACATCTCTCATTTGTTTCAACCTTGTAACTGCTTTCAGTATTTTCAACCCTCCAACCTCTCTCAATAATTTTCAACCTTCCAACCGCTTTCATTATTTTAACCCTTCAAACTCTCTCATTATTTTCAACCCTCCAAACTCTCTCATTATTTTCAACCATCCAACTTCTCTCATTAGTTTCAAACCTCCAACGTCTCTCATTATTTTTAACCCTCCAATTGCTTTCATTATTTTCAACCCTTCAACCACTCTCATTATTTTCAAGCCTCCAACTTCTAACATTATCTTCAACCCACCAACCGCTCTCATTATCTTTAGCCCTCCAACCTCTCTCATTAGTTTCAACCCTGCAACTGTTTTCAGTATTTTTAATCCTCCAACCTCTTTCATTAGTTTTAACCTTTCAAACGCTCTCATTATTTTCAACCCTCCAACTGCTTTCAGTATTTTTAATCCTCCAACGTCTCTCATTAGTTTTAACCTTTCAAACGCTCTCATTATTTCCAACCCTCCAACTGCTTTCATTATTTTCAACCTTCCAACCGCTCTCATTATTTTAACCATCCAACCTCTCTCATTAGCTTCAGCTCTCCAACCTCTCACATTATTTTGAACCCTCCAAACTCTCTCATTGTTTTCAGCCATCGAACTTCTCTCATTAGTTTCAAACCTTGAACCTTTCTCATTATTTTCAACCCTCCAATTGCTTTCATTATTTTCAACCCTCCAACTGGTTTCATTATTTTTAACCCTGCAACCGCTCTCATTATTTTCAACCCTCCAACCTCTAACATTATCTTCAACCCTCCAACCGCTCTCATTAGTTCTAGCTCTCCAGCCGCTCTCATCATTTGCAACCCTCCAACCTCTCTCATTAGTTTTAACACTCAAACGTCTCTCATTGTTATTTTCAAAAATTGTCAATGAGATATTCACTGGAAAAAAACAAAAAAACAATTATTCCTCCAATCCAAAATATGTTTCAGCTTTAATTAGTCCACAAAAGGTTGATAAGACATTAAAAAACAAATTAATCAAACAATTTATTATTTTTCTAAAAATAGAAATGACAATTATCAAGTGTATTTATGGCAATAACCTTGATATAAGTTTTGACACTTTTTTTATTTTGTTTTTTGTTTTTTTTATCATCTGGTCCTAAGTTAAACTTTTGATAAATTTGAAGATTACGCCCTGTAAACCAGTTGCAATGAAAATTTCCATTCTGGTGTAAATTTGCATGCTTATTTCGAAAATTCCAATAAAAGTTTGTGGAAGAAAACTGTTTAGGAGTTATCGAGAATATAATTTTGGTCTCTTTCAAGTAGAGGTTACAGCCTGGCTGCCAATATTGGTTTGTCTATATCTCTGAGATGAGGTATTATGATTATTTGCATTATTTACATTATTTGGACTGTTATCTTCATCTTCATTACCATATTCACAACGTTTCAGCTGCTGTACACCCTGGAATTTCAAACTGAACCTTTTATTTGATTCACCTGGGTAGAGTGTTCTAGTTATACGTGCCATGCCTCTTCCGGATGTTTCAGTTATTTCCCTTTAAATTGACTCCCCAAGTCTTTTGGTTCAACATGTGCCCTGGTATTGAACTCACAACTCTTTGTATCACTGTATCTAACCAATGTCTTTATCCACTGGGCCATGAGTCCTTGTGAACCAAAATCTTGGAGAGTTGTGTTAAAAGAAAATAACTGAGACATCCGGAAGAGACATGGCACTTGGCACTAGTAAAGTCTACCCCAGTTGACAAAATAAAGGATTCAAAATTCTAATCACCTGAAGAAGGCTGGAGCATACAACGACTGAAACGCCATATTCAGACAATGGAGATGAGGATAACAGTCGGAATAATGTAAATAATGCAAGTAATTACTGGCTTTGTTTACATATATTTGCCTCAAGTAATAATGAGTGAAAGCTTCACTTGTCTTGATTACTGCGCAATGCGCAAATTTTAAATTAAATTCTGCAAATTGTGCAGTAATCAAGACAAGTAAGAAGATAAGGAGATCAGTAAAAAGGCTGTTGTTATAAAATAAAATAAGACATATCTCGGCTGATTTACAGGCATATACACAAGAGCGAGAGCCGGATGTGAACGGGACAAAACCCCGTCACAAAATGACCATTATCTTCATTTACAAATGTTCCCGACACTCGAGTTCCGGTCGAAAAATAAAATAATATTTGAAGTGTTCTATTTTCGTCCAATAAAAATGCTTCCCTCCTAATTATACCCGCTTCATTTTTCGAGCCTGTTAAGCCATAAAACAATGCTATAAAAGGGGTCACACGGAAGTTCAACAGGCAGTCCACAGGTGCCCAGGATAGAGACCTGTCACATTCAGCTGCTGACAGCAGGGGAGCGTCAACCACCATCAACATGTGTGAACTACTATGAGGGATCGACCTAGATCCGAAGCCGACTTATGAACTTTACCACAAGGTAGCTGTCCCAAACCCACATGTTCCTGTTGAAATAAACCACGTAAATCTATTTCTGCTGTTGTCGTATTTCTTTCTTGCAACCATACGCTTGTCTATAACACTGTTAAGTAAGCTTCCGCACATTATTACTGGAAGCAAACATATGTAAGCAACACCAGTAATGGTAGCCCGGCTGGATGCGAATAAGGTCAAACTTATATGGTCATTAACTCCTAAACAATTTTCTTCCACAAACTTTTATTGTTATTTTGGAATTAATCAAGCAATTTTACACCAGAATGGAAATTTTCATTACAATTGGTTTCTGGTGCTTAATCTGCAAATTTACCAAAATTTTCCTATTTTTTTCATGAATTACTTTTATTATTGTTTTTCTGATTCCTGAAGGCCAATCTCCTGGAGAAGTGAATCCCGCAGAGAGTCAAAATTCAGCTACTGAAAGAGATGAAGAGCCAACAGCTGTTGTCGCCGCTTCAGGGTACAATGAAGAAAAGGAACCGATGCCACAGCCGGGCAAGGAAGAAGCAACAATGCGAAAAGAACAGGAAGATAGCATCAGAAAACTCTTTCGTAAAATATCTGACCTGAACGATGAAAACATTGCACTTACAATGGAGAACAAAGACCTGGTGTGCCGGGTTGCACACCTCACCTCTGAACTCAGTATAAATGAAGCAAAAAGTTGTGAGAGAGAGGAAAAACTCAAAGCAGAGATCAATGCAGAATGGCGACAAAAATATGACTCTTGGGTTGAAGAAATGAAGAAGAAACTCGCAGAAATCAACCAGAATAGGCAGTGAAATATTTCATGAATTTAATAAAATACTTAGTAATGAGACATTCCACTGTTATGGAAACAAATATGATCACTAACTGAAAGTCATACGTTCTGTTACCATAGCAATGGAATATCTCATTAATAAATAGGGGGATATCAGACTGATTGACTGATAGACACATAAAATCACAATATTTTATATTATGGAATAGATGAATACTCTAGCATTTTTATATCTATATGCTTAAATTTGCTGTCACGTGTAAAAAAAGAATTCTGGTTTTTAAATCATTGAATTCAAAAATATTAAAAAAAATGCTTACACAAAATATTAATAATAAAGCATAATGTATTAGCAATATTGGCTTCGAGTATTAATTCTTGTTACCATAATAATGGAATATCTTAGTAGTAAGTAGGGCAGATCAGGCTGCATGACTGCATGACTCAAATGTTCAGGCCAATAGATGAAATAAAATACTATTTAAAATAAACAGAGCTTTTACTCAATCTACAAATATTTAGAGTAATAAAGATATGTTGGATTAATAAATAAATCTCCATTAATGCTTTAGAAATATATATATATATATATATATATATATATATATATATACACACACACACACTCACACACATATATATATACTATATATTTATTATAAGAGATTATAATAAAAACTTTTTTAAATCGCTACACAAAAGCTTTCATGTTTCAATACTTTGATTGTTGGTGATGAGATGATTTTAAGGAAATTAAAAGTTTTTTAAAAGTAAATGCTATGAACTAGATTTTTACTCCATTTGTTCCTTCTATCATTTGGAGATATATATATATATATATATATATATATATATATATATATATATATATATATATACCAATTATAGGTAGGCTTAATTCCAAGGAGGATATTAGTCCAAAGAGAGCTCAATGTAAGTAACAGAGCACAAAGAAACAAATTTATTTTCAAGTGTAGACACAAGAACAAATTTAAAATTCCCTAAAAACATTGACTTTGCGAGTTATACACTTGATTCTATTTTATATGGGTACTAACATATATGCGTATGAATATTCACATTTTTTATATGCTTATTTATGTGATTGTCTTGCCTACATTTATAATTTTAAATTATTAATTCATTTATATTTTTATATTACTATTATTGGTAGTAATATCATTATTTTTTACCCTTATCTATATTTTTTATACACTAAATTTATTCTTTATAATTATCTCTTGATTTATTTATATATTTTTTATATTATTTATTTTATTTACAGATCGAGTTATCTGCCCTTGGTTTAAGTAATTTGTTAAATCGCAACATCTATCAGAGAGATGAAATTTAAATTTTTATTATTACATTATGCCAAAATTGTCACACATCAGAAGATAGCTATTAATGTCAACAACTGAGCACAAATAGTTATTAATTAAAAAAAAGTAGTAATTAATGTTTAATATTATCCATAACTACATGTACAAGAATGTCGTTTTTGATAAAAGTTAAAAAATAACCATAAATGCGTAAAAAATGCGTATATTGTCAAAAAATTCCTTTTTCCACAATATAGCTATTTGTGCTATGTTATAATGCTTATTACCTAAGCAATAATAATAATGAATATTTTTAAACATTAAAGTATATTTAATCACATCTCCCTAATAGCTGTCGCAATCTGTTAATTTAATTTATTTTTATTGTTGTTGGTTATTATTATTATTATTATTATTATTAATTTAAAATTGTGATGATTATCATAATGTGATGACGAAATTTGCTGTCTAAAATGACATGGCTATTAGACATATTACTGTAACTCTTTTAATTCTGAACACCCTCTCCGTTACTCAACTTGCTCACTTGTTCTGCCCACTAAGAAAAAATTTTTCTATGTCATTTTATTTTGGCTGTTGGCTCATAATTTATTTCTTCCTTCTTTCTTTTCTTTTCTTTCACTCTCCCTCCCTCTCTCCTTTCCCTCTCTATCCCCCGTTGGCTCTTTCTTTCTTGCCTAAATTTAAGAAAAGAAAAAATTATATTGAATTTTTATTTTTCTTTCTTCTTTTTTTTTTATTATAAAACTTTTTCCATTTTTTCCTCTTCCTTTTTGTCTATCTTTCTGGGTGGATTGACTCCATTTATTAAAAATCCTTTGGTCTGAATAGATGAAATGAAATAAATTATAACCGAGATGCAATTTTTAGGATTTTCTTGACTTATTATTATTATATATATATATATATATATATATATATATATATATATATATATATATATATAAAACACCTTATTTCACAGACAGAACAAAATGACTGAAAGGAAATGGAATGACAAACATGCCTTGTTCTCAGAGCGAGTTGTATATCACTAAATCATACATAAAATTATATATACATATTTACACCTGTCTCATGCAGAGAAAATATAACACATATATAATAATTTCTAATGTGAATTAGGCCTGCTGGATTTTCTTCTGTGTTTCTGGAGAAGCCATATTTAATATTCCAGAATTGAGCAGGATGAATTTATCTAAAATGTTGCTATTGAGGATATATTCAGCAAACGATAAATGACATGTTCTGGGTTTTCCCCAAATTGTGGACTGTGAGATATATTTTCTATACCTGTTGAAGATATATTTCTATAAAAAAAAAAAAAGAGCCATAGGCTTGTAAGCTGCACCATGTGGCTGAGGGAGGCAAATTTAGCCTCAGCCCAGGTCAAGGGTCCCAAGATAAAAAAGCAACTGCTCATTTTGACTCCTGGAAGCTGACTGACTGATTACTTTTGTCACACTATGAAGTTAGGTCACTAAGCAGCCATCATGTAACCCAGGTGACGTCATCTCGACCAAAGGGAGATAATCGTCTTGTATATCACTACAATATAATTATGCGTATACATGAATGAGAGCAGCCACCAATCTTTGAATCTGATTTTTTTTAATATGTAGATATAATTATATTTTAAAAACGTATATGCATATAGTAAGTATATATATTTCTTAAATATAAAGGTATATAGTCATTAGATATAAGATTATATGAACACAAAATGAATTTTTTACAAAACAACCAACTCAGTGCATTAGTTGCCCACTGTAATGAGTCAGACTGTAATTCTGATTTAAAAAATGCTACTATAATTAAAAGAGAAGCCAACTTACTGGGTGCAATAGGTAAATTGTAGCCATTTTATATTTTTAATTTTCTGCATGGCATTGTTTGTTTTTTATTTTCGTTTGCTGAATATATCCTCAATAGCAACATTTTAGATAAATTTGTCCTGCTTGATTCTGGAATACTAAATATGGCTTCTCCAGAAACACAGAAGAAAATCCAGCAGACCTAATTCTCATTAGAAATTATTATATATGTTTTATTTTTTCTCTGCATGAGACACATGTAAATATGTATATATAATTTTATGTATGATTTAGCGATAGACAACTCGCTCTGAGAACAAGGCATGTTTGTCATTCCTTTTCCTTTTAGTCATTTTGTTCTGTCTGTGAAATAAGGTGTTTTATATATATATATATATATATATATATATATATATAATAATAATAATAATAAGTCAAGAAAATCCTAAAAATTACATCTCGGTCTCGGTTATAATTTATTTAATGTCATCTCTTCAGACCATAGGGTTTTTAAGAAATGGAGTCAATCCGCCCAGAAATATAGAAAAAAAGGAAGTGGAAAAAGTTTTATAATAAAAAAGAAGAGGAAGAAAGAAAAAGAAAAATTTCAATATAATTTTTTTTTCTTAAATTTAGGGAGGAAAGAAAGAGTGAGTGGGGGATAGAGAGGGAAGGAGAGAGGAAGGGAGAGTGAAAGAAAAGAAAAGAAAGAAGAAAGAAATAAATTATGAGCCAATAGCCAAAAGTAGGCTCAGTATAGTAGGGTCAGTTGGGCACCATTTTGTGAGAAAAAGAGCACCATGATGCTATTCACTTTGCCAAAATTTTGGAAACGGCACGCTATACTGCTTGGAATTCATGCCGGATGCTCCAACATAAATATTTCAGAGTATTTGGATGTCCATTTGAGGACAGTGCAGAGGATTTGGAAAGTGGTGGATGAGTCTAATGGTGATTACAAAGGTATTTGGAATGATGGCGACATTATGCCTACTTCAAGTGCCTTGAGAAGGTAGTGCTGCTCTAGGTCAAGAGTGTGGCTGCTGGAAGAATGTATGCCTGGCAACAGGAATCTACACCATGCCACACAAACAGGAGAACCCAGTGATGGCTGTCAGACAATTTTTGTGACCACATCACCCCTTACATCTGACAACCTTACTCCCCAGACTGCACCCACTTGATTATTATGTGCAGAGTACAGTTGAGCAAGATAACAACAAAACTTCTAACACCAAAGAAAGTAAGGATTATGGCAGCATTCACCAATATAAACAAGGAGACCGTCCAGAAGAGTTTCAGGAGATTCGAAAATGGTCTGGAGTCCATGGTTGAAGCCAATGGTAACTTTATTGAATACATTTATTCTTTTGTATTTCAAGATATTTTTATGTAATTTTGGTAAATATATCTGTTAAAATGAAATGTCAGTGTTATTTTCATTTTTGTGTAATTTAAACAACGGTTTATACATCGCAGCCAAGATAATGAAGCAGATACCAAAATCAATAAACTGCAGCATTTCTGAGAATTCTTCCAATGAAACCAGATTCAACAATGCTAAGAAAGACTATGAAACAGCCGTAAAACAGCCCTCCTCCACACACCACACAGAGGACAAAGAAAAACAACAGGAAGAGAAACATCATATAGTTCAACCCATAGTACAACAAAAACATAAAAACAAATGT